ACTTCCCATAATCTGAACAAGGTGGGATGACATTGCCAAGACGACCGTCTCCACTGTGGCTCATCCTGTTTGTGTAGATAATGTACTGGAAATCTGCTCAGTAATCCATGTAATTTTGCCTTAGTCTATTCATTCTGACACCAGAAGTTTCTTTAGTCCACTATCTATGGTGAATTGGAGGTTTACGCAAAGCGCTGTTTGACCTTGGTCACACTGGTTTGTACATGAGTTGGTCCTCTGTCAAAGCAAATGAAGCATTTGACAATCTGGTATGTCCGTGGCACATGGTGAGGTGTGAAGGACAGGTTAACCTATTTCTGCATCATGACTTGTAGTTATTATTATTCAGTGTCAAGTAGTGATGCACCAAAAATTCTTGGCTGAAATCAAAAATATTTGGTCTGATTTAACATCGGAGGGGCTGAGGATGCGGTTCATTTATTTTTAAACTGGGGTGAATGTTACAATTTTTTTTATATATAGACTAGTAGTTGGATTTTCCTCTTTGACTCTCTCACAAAGGGCCCCTTCCTCTCTGACAGAAGTTCAGTGCTGCACTAGTGGTCAGCTCTGGTCTCATGACCAACAAACGGCACACAAAGGCACCTCTAACCTCTTTTCTCACTCTCTTACCCAGTCACATGGCACACACACACACCCAACGACTGGCTCCAACAACTGCTTTTGTTTGGGTTTCTCCATTCCCTCACTTGTTTAGTTTTAGACACTTTTCCTTCAGTCAGTAATCCTCAGGAAAATCAGATGTTACAGCTGTGTGTTTATGCGTCTTGTAGGGACATGTTAGTTAGCACCAGTGAGGTCTCTGAATATTGCTGCGGTGGGACGCTGAACAAAATAAAAGTAAAAGGTAGCAAAATCACAAAGATTTGTTTTTGTGTTCTATCTCGCTCGCTCACTTTCTGAAAATCAAGATTAGGCTCCCCACTGTCAATGAAATATCAGATATTGTGAATTTGTGATACTGTATCTTCTATTAAGATTTAATATTATTTATTTAAACATGTGAAAATTTAAATATTAACAAATTTTCTATGTAATTAAATGGTAACTATTTAATTATTAGTATATTACAAAATATAAAAGTTTTTATTTAATGTTTTATATTTATATATATTTTAATATACTGAAGTTCTTATAACTAATGTAATAAAATCTAAGTAGCTCTTTGAGTGCAGTCACTATAAAATGATTTTTTTTTTTTTAAGTTACTTAATCACATACAGTGTGAAGACTTAAGTTGATTTGGACTTATGTTGAATTTAGATTTTGTTTGTGTGTGTGTGTGAGATATTATTAACATAAATTTAATTCTCCAAGCAGTCGCTACACACAATCTGAGTCACATGCATGCTATCATCATATGCATGATTCACTGAGTTGGCAAGATCTGTGGCATTCCTGAGGTTCATCTGCTGCCAAAACATAAAAGATATGCTACAATTCCATGAATCACCACTTTTACTTTGAATTTGCGTGTGCGACCTTCTGTAAACCGAGAGGTGGGTCCCTGTATAGCTTTTCACATGTCTAGCGTAATGCAAGCATTTCTCTGACCAATTTAGTCATCACACATTTACATTTACATTTACATTTAGTCATTTAGCAGACGCTTTTATCCAAAGCGACTTACAATTGGGGGATACATAAAGCGATTCTTCTTAAAGAGGCAAACAGACACAAGAAGTGGTTGTAATACCAAGTTCTTAGACATTGTTCAAATAAGTACAAGCTAGAAAGAGAAGGAATAAATAAAGAGAGAGAGACTTTTAAAAAAAAAAAAATTTTTATGATGAAGTCAAGTAGCTTCCAAAGAGATGAGTTTTCAGCTGTCGCTTGAAAATTGTCACTGCTTTCCTGTACACCCTGGTAAGCACTTTTGCTAGCTGGTGTCTCAATTGATTTCTTTCTTTCTCCGTATCGTTTTTGCAGAAAAAGGCTGAGCTACACAATGGAAATTGACTACCTGCTTCTTTGGAAGTGTATTTTGCTCATGAATAGATTGTCCTCGATATCTGTATAAGTGTGTTTAAGCTTTGTTCCCAGGAATACTGCTAGACACTTTGTTGACGTTGTTCACACTGCACAAAAATCCAATCCGCTTTTTATATCTGGTCTTTCTGCAATATAATTTCTCAAGTATTGAAATCAGATCTGTTTGTTCAGCTTGTGTAATCAATATCCGGTGTATTTATCTATGTTGATAGATACAGTATAGATGTGTGTGTCCACATGATGCCAAGAGACTCAAAAACAACTGCTCACGTCTATCAAGAAAACTTGATGCCATGCTGAACAAAGTTGCTTAAAAAGTGCATGAGAACATAATCTACTCCGATGACGCTGACTCGTTCACTTATTCACTGCATAGTCTGCTATTTGACGATTGAGTGAGTGAAGATGTATTTGAATGCACCTGTTAGAAACTGGAGAATTAATGCTGCGGGTTTTTTTTTCTACCAAAATAAAAGCTTAATGGTTTACCATGTAAAGAACTAAACAGAAAGAAAGAAATACCAAGATTAGTACTGCAATTTTATCTGAGAAATTTGATATTTTTAATCCAATTGTATAGCCGTACTGAATGATAAAAAATTACTTGCAATTTGTTCTGACTGTTCAAACTGAGACTCTTCAAAAATCAGATTTAATCTAATTTCATATAACGTGTATGCAGCTTTATCCATCAGATCATTGCTTTTTTTGTAATCTTAACATCAGAAAAACACATGTTGTGTGCAAGGCAAGACTCAACAGCTGTAGGATTGCATACGAATATGACACTCATGTGGGAGTTAAATGATGCCAGAGCCTTTGAGCAGCCATTCATTAACTGTACATAATGAATGAGCTGATAATTAACTGATAATGACTTGTTGGCTCCTCCCCACCCTCTGAATGGATGGATGGATGGATGTATGCAGACATTGAAACTGTTTGTATCAGTTTTGTCCTCGGGCACAACAGTCCTGCACTGCAGGCCAAGGAAGCAAAAGGGGTCAGTTTCACACTCCAGTGTGTCACATGATACCAAAACGGTTTGTGACACCAGAGAATGCACAGAACTTGAGAAGAAGAGGGCATAGTCTTGTTTTTTTGCCAAACTGGACACAGACCACCTTGCAATTAGCATTTCTAACTGAATCTGATTTCCTGGCTTGTGAACAAACAGCTGTTACCACACTTTTCATTTACAAAAGGAGTGAAATTCCAAGCAGATGGATGTTGTCAGTTTCACAGCTGTGGCTGTGAAGCCTCTCACTTCTGTGAGCTTGGCAGACTGCTCAAGGCTTGCAGCTGATACCAACTCAAATTAAATGCACTTCAGGCTGGCAGAGAGCATTTGAAGGAGAGGGCTGATTTCAGTTATCGGTCTAATGCTGTAGATGTGGCACAATAACAGAGCGGATCTCTATTTCGTCAGAATGTGGATGCAGATTGCTAAGAGATCCTGATTAGCCTTGTTAAAACATTCTCTTTTTATCATTTAATGCTGATTTTTAATCTAAATTACATTGTATAATTTCAAAATTTGAAGCAAAAACAGAATGGTTTGACTTCAGTTTTGTGAAACTATGCATAAAAAATCTGCATGAAACAGAAACGGCTGACGAGCTGAATGAGACGCAGATTCACTCTCTGCCAGCAGGTGGCGCTTAAAGCATTTCCTTGGTTTCCGCTGTAAACAAAGCAGCGCTGCACTTATGAACTTTAATATGAATTATACAGAGGCAAGAGGAAAAGAAAAAATACCATCGAAAGACAGTAAATTCCCCTCAGACATACATTCATATAAACTCCTAATTGAAAATCCGCAATTTGTTTAGCATCTCAACCGATTTGAATCGTCACATATATTTAAATCGATTTTTCAACTGGCTCGCGGTTAATCGTTACATCCCTAGCAGCATCACTGATTTCAAAACCTGTTGTGAAACAGGATTTATTAACTTCTCAGTAGTTTCACGAAGTTCTTCTTACTCCGTTCATAAAAAGCCCATTGAGCCGTTACTCTTATGTAATTTAACCCCACAGAACTTCTCAATCGTTGCAGTCACATGTATTTTACTGCCATCTAACCCCAAACTTTTAGCAAGCAGAAGTAAATGGGCATTGATTGGAGCCAGTTTATATGTTTAGCTGCTGCTTTTTTTTTCTACCAAAATAAAAGCTTAATGGTTTACCATGTAAAGAACTAAACAGAAAGAAAGAAATACCAAAATTAGTACTGCAATTTTATCTGAGGAATTTGATATTTTTAATTCAATTGTATAGCCGTACTGAATGATAAAAAATTACTTGCAATTTGTTCTGACTGTTCAAACTGAGACTCTTCAAAAATCAGATTTAATCTAATTTCATATAACGTGTATGCAGCTTTATCCATCAGATCATTGCTTTTTTTGTAATCTTAACATCAGAAAAACACATGTTGTGTGCAAGGCAAGACTCAACAGCTGTAGGATTGCATACGAATATGACACTCATGTGGGAGTTAAATGATGCCAGAGCCTTTGAGCAGCCATTCATTAACTGTACATAATGAATGAGCTGATAATTAACTGATAATGACTTGTTGGCTCCTCCCCACCCTCTGAATGGATGGATGGATGGATGTATGCAGACATTGAAACTGTTTGTATCAGTTTTGTCCTCGGGCACAACAGTCCTGCACTGCAGGCCAAGGAAGCAAAAGGGGTCAGTTCCCAAACTTTTAGCAAGCAGAAGTAAATGGGCATTGATTGGAGCCAGTTTATATGTTTAGCTGCTGCTGTTTCAGAGCATATGATTTGGCAAATGTATGATTGTTAATTACAGCTATATCACGTAACAAGCCCCTTGAGCTAATTAAGGAAACATAATGAATGTGGGCTTATGTAGACTACTGTTCAAAAGTTTGGGGTCAGTAAGATTTATATCTTTATATATTTATATCTTTTACAGCCTATTATATTTAATGTTATTTCTTATGTTTTTACCAGGTCCATTAGCGAGTCTCGTGTTCTGCTGTGAATCCACGGAGGACAGTTTTGGAGTCGAGCACCCTCTCGGTCCAGTGTGGTCCAGCTTCATTAAGAAAGAGCAGCAGCAACAGGAAGCAAGCTGGACGGGGGGGAGGTGAGGGAGGACGAGGGCACCGCCTTTGTCCTGAGACACAGAGTCTATACCAGCAGCAATACTACTGACCCCACCCACACATCCACCTCAGACGGCCAAGACACCATGAGGGCCAGCGCAGGTCACAGATCAGAAGGCCCCACACATAACAGGGTGAGTGCAGAACCACAGAGTTCATTAATATTTACTAATGAAACTGGTTAGCTTAACATAAAAGACATATTGGTCAACCACCGCTCCTGTTTGTTATTGGAGTGGGGCATAATAAAGCAAAAAGCTTGAGGTAATGCATGAAGCTTTCTTAACCTTGGTAAAACATGAACACACAGCTTTGAGTGCTTTCTAGCAGTTTAATCAAATACACCAATAAATTAGATATTAATAGCATAGTCCTCTGACAAATAATGCAGTTCATTAGCCTGACTAATCATTTTAATGGTTTGTAGCAACTTGGCACATTAGAAATTAATTTGATGTGCTGTCACAGGTGTTTGCGTGTAGGCCCTTTCACATCTGATCAGATTTAATATGTTTAGTATAAAAGTGTATAAGCCATAAATTGCCCTTATCTATAGCAAATGACAGAAACCTGCATTTCAGACACATTGAAATGCATGTATATAGTATTATAGGATCACAAGTAGCTTATACTGGTTGCTTATAAATAATTCTCACTCAATAAGATAAGTACACTCACTTGAGAACTCAATGGACTGTTTATAAAAGCTAATGAACTATTAATGGATGCTTTACAGTGACTGCACACACTCTAATTTGCATCTGTAGTCCATTATGGCCCCAGAGACCAGCAGATTCATCATTTGAGGTGTGGCATATTGGAGAACTGCATAGGGATCATATGCGTTATTTGTTTTTGTGAGCTATAATTACTCATCACAGTGCAATATAGACAGAGAAAGTCTTTTAATCTCAGAGGAGTCTGTATGAGCTCAAAAGGTCGTCAAAGGATCTATGGAGCAATCCAGATTGTTTTAGATGAGGATCGTAGGAATATGCTTAGGGAGAAAGAGACTGTTACATTCCAGTGGCTGAGTTGATATTTTCCTATTCATTTGGTTTGATATTGCTTTGTTTATATTACATGCCCGGTTTTGAATAATTCGTATCCACGTCTCTACATCAGCTACATGTTACACTGAATAGCTCTAACAGTGTTTGGAGGTTTAAAGAGGACTCTCTTTGTATTTGCATGAGCTGTCCGCGTCTGTTATTTGCATGCCTCCAACACACAAATACACACAATGGTTGTGTATTGTGTAATCTGACTCGGGCAACATTTGTGTCAGGCATTGTGAGCCACGTGGCAGTTGGCTGCCAAGGCTGTGGCGTGGTGTGGTCAGACAGGGTAGGTGTAAAGCTATCCCATCCACAGAGCAGACACCCTACTGGCTTTTCGGGTTAAGGTAGATCCACGACAACAAGGCCAAGCTGATGAAATTTTAAACCGTCCTCAGGACACAGTAATAAACACTGTTCGGTGTTTATTTTGCATCATGTTTCTGGTGGACGTGGTTGAGTTTTTGTGTCAATTTAGGACTACCATTTTAGTACAACTGAGAGAAATCACTTTGAAATTTAATGAGCGTTTAATTGGATCATATGTCCATCATTACACAGGAGAGACTGTGGCATGTGAGCAGACCTGGAAAATGAGAATCCACTATTTTCCCTCGAGTATGCCATAATTGTCCTGGTTCACAGAACCAGCTGTAAATTTTACACCTTTGTGCATAAAATTAGCGTGTCCCCCCCCCCTTTCTATTTGAATATGTCTTAGTCATTCACAGAGGATGCATTTTTACACACCATATTTTCTTTAAATGTTGGTCAGTGTAAAACTTTGCAAGACCTATTACTGGGCCAATCAGAAGAATCTGGTGGTGGGATGAGCATATTTAAAAATTGGAAATTGAGTTTATTGTAATATTTCTACTACTCTGAGAAATTTATTTTATTCTGTTGATATCCATTAAAGATTTTTAATCGGGTTTATCCAAATTTAGTTTTACTTTTTTTTTAAATTTTTTATAAATCAATAGCTCAAGTAGGTTTTTTTTGCCATTAAAAATAGCCAAAGAAGGCTTTAAACAAACAAATACACAAACAGCGTGGGATATAAGTTAATATGCATATAAATGCACTTTATTATAGTCAGTTCCACCTTGCTGTTTTAACTCTAGAATGTATCTTGTGTGACCGGTCCCATACTTCTCTGAAGAAATATTCTACATTCCTTATATGTTTTATATTTTGACTTCCCGCTAAAAAAAACATTGCTTTACAGCATCAACCCTAAGGATTTTTTCTACTGGCCCAGTTGGGTCAGTGGTTCAAACTGTAAAAAAATACAGTGCCAAAAAATTGTTTATTTTCTGCCACAAAAAATAAAATAGTTGCTGTTGTCATTGTTTTTGTTCTGTTATCTTGTATTCTAATAAATAAGCTTATATGACACCAATATTTTGGATACCAATTAAATTGTACAATTCTCTATTTCAATTTCGATACCATAGCAAAAATCACTAGCCAAAAATAAACATAAATATAAAGTTTAAACATTAAAGACAAGTGACCGCCAGTAAATAAGAGCAAATGAACATATTACAAGTAATGGCACAATTAAATATAGGCCTATAGCACAAAAATAGAAATTAAATGATGCTTTAGATTTTTATGTTTGTAGATGTGATGTTCAGGTACAGAAATGGAAAAATCACATATAAAATGACATTTGCATATTCTTCACTCTGTGTTACACCTTGATTTTTCATAGCCATTTGAAAAACATCTGTATGAAACTGAAACCACAGGTGGGCTGAATGAGACACAGATTCACTCTCTGACAGCAGGGCAAATTAACATATTACAAGTAATGGCACAATTAAATATAGGCCTATAGCACAAAAATAGAAATTAAATGATGCTTTAGATTTTTATGTTTGTAGATGTGATGTTCAGGTACAGAAATGGAAAAATCACATATAAAATGACATTTGCATATTCTTCACTCTGTGTTACACCTTGATTTTTCATAGCCATTTGAAAAACATCTGTATGAAACTGAAACCACAGGTGGGCTGAATGAGACACAGATTCACTCTCTGACAGCAGGTAGCGCTTATGGTACAGTAATACAGCATTTCCTTGGTTACCGCTGTAATCACTAATTTAAATGCATCATACTGAGACAAAATGAAAAGAAAATGCCATTTCTGAAAACAGTCAGTTCCGTTCCCCTCAGAAACGCATTCATATAAAATACAATATTTGGATTTTTGTCCTATTTTGCACATCGTGAACAGTGATCTTGTTCTGCCTTTTACAGTATTTTCTCCTCTGTGTTTGTCTTCAGCATTTTTGGCCTCTGTTAATGGCTGTTTACAGACAAAGTATAATAATAACGTAATATTTCCACACAAATGGCCATTGGGAAAATGATTGCAGTGCAGTTTGTGTGCAAGCACGGAACAGAAGATAGTCTGAAATAAAACAAAAAATGTCCGGCAGGCATGTACTCCAATGTATAGATTAATCCTTGTTAAAGCCACAAAGTTACTTGCCAGGACGGGTATTTTGCCCGTTCAGGCGGCTCAGAGGCTGTCTGTGCGCAGAACACAGCATGCGAGTACTAAAACAGTCTAAAAAAAAGTCTTAACACATGCAAATGATAAAATGTTGTGATGACGCTGCAGTGGCCCGATCGGGCAAGTGACAAATCCGTCTACTGTCCGAACGTCTTTCACGCTGGCCCCGGACCATCGGGCAGTCCTTATTGTCGAGCCCTGCTTTAACATGGAATGCAGTGGGCCATACGGTAATATTTCCACACAAATGGCCATTGGGAAAATGATTGCAGTACAGAAGGTAGTCTGAAATAAAACAAAAAATGTCCGGCAGGCATGTACTCCAATGTATAGATTAATCCTTGTTAAAGCCACAAAGTTACTTGCCAGGACGGGTATTTTGCCCGTTCAGGCGGCTCAGAGGCTGTCTGTGCGCAGGTAGTCTGAAATAAAACAAAAAATGTCCGGCAGGCATGTACTCCAATGTATAGATTAATCCTTGTTAAAGCCACAAAGTTACTTGCCAGGATGGGTATTTTGCCCGTTCAGGCGGCTCAGAGGCTGTCTGTGCGCAGAACACAGCATGCGAGTACTAAAACAGTCTAAAAAAAAGTCTTAACACATGCAAATGATAAAATGTTGTGATGACGCTGCAGTGGCCCGATCGGGCAAGTGACAAATCCGTCTACTGTCCGAACGTCTTTCACGCTGGCCCCGGACCATCGGGCAGTCCTTATTGTCGAGCCCTGCTTTAACATGGAATGCAGTGGGCCATACGGTGAGCCTATCTCTTCCGCTTATCAAAGCATGCTCTAAAGCTCACTACACTAGTACAATTTCACCTGTAAACTGGGTTATAGGTCACAAAACAACTACTAAACACACCTGCTTTCATGTAAGGCATAAAGATGCTACAATAGATGGTTCTCTCATATTTAAGTTTTAAATAAAGCGGCAGTGTTAGGGTTGCATTGAGAAATTGATCTCCAGGTGCTACTGTTCTTAATGAGAGAGGGTGGATTTCATCCGTTTGCTTTATGCTCTTTGGTTTTCCAAAGGTAACTGGTTGTTTCCTTGTGGCTATGGCAACAGTCTAGTTAGATGATTGGTTTTTGTATGGCAACAGAAGGAAGACTGGAGATCTATCGGCTCCACAAGGTAAATTTTTAACCAGGAACTGCTTGATTCTGTTGATTGGAAGACTAAGCTATTTTTTTTTCCTAATAAAAGGGGTAAAGTTGAACATCCATCAGTCTAATCACTCTTATGGGATGATGTTATGTGTGACCTATTGCCAGAGTATGAACTCAGCCATCTGGTGGACTAAAAACTGTTTAACTCTTCAGATGTACGACTCTGATAACACAGTCTCACCACACACAGTAAGAACTTCCCCTGGTGCTTTCCAGTTTGTGGTATTTCTATGGTATTTCTTGTTGTTCTTTCTAATCAGTGACACATATTTTATTTTACCATTAACGTGTAGCCTAATTGCACTTGTTAATTTCTGAGGAAGCCAAACTAGAGGAGCGCATTTGTCAAATGATCTCAATTAAAGTCTAAATGTCT